CTTTCACCTCCATTTTCTCGCTTATTTTTGCAAATACGAAGATACACGTTAGAACATTTTTTATGTATTTTTTAATTTAACACAACTTTTGTTTGAAACTTTTTTCGATTAAATGCATAGATTCTAAGATATGGCTTTTTTACCCTTTTTTACCCTTTTTTACCCTTTTTCTCAAAGATCTCCTGATCCAATTGCAAMAAAATTAGCACCATTCGATTCAGCGTCGTCGAATTACCATTATATCAAATTTTAACAAGGCCCCTAAATTTTCCAAGTTCTCCTTTGTTGCCTGGACTATATATATGTCATCGTTAAAGCATGTGAAACAAAATTGAAGAATATTTTTTTATAATTGACATAAAATTTTTATTTTATGCTTCAACTAATCGCACCTCGCTATTTCATAGAATAACTGGTTAAAGTATACATTTCTTGTTTATTTCATACTTTAACTGGTCTCTTTGGATATTTAATGAAAAATTATAAAATTAAATATCTATCCTATAAAATGAAGGATTTCACGCTTTAATGGTAACATATACACAGATCGTTTTCGAAATATGCGTAAGATTGGGGAGAACGTTTGGACGAAGAAAGAAAAACATGAGAGCTTGAGAAAGAATGAAGAAAGACCAACCCTTTTTAGACTTAAGACTTCTGTATAAAGTTTAAGTAGGCATCCTATTCAATTAATTTCGTTAGATCATACTTTAGAAAAATAATTATATAATTATATTGCTTTAGAAATCCTTTCTAATATAATAAGTATAAAAAAATATGATATTAAATACATACAATTGACGTTTAAAATAATTTTGTTGCCTTTCCAAAATTAAATTTCTATCGTCTAATTTGGCCATTTTTTCTCGGAGAGTAGCATTTTCTTCTTCTAGTTGTATTACTTTTAAATATAATTTTGTATTATAGGTATCATTCGCCATATTGTCTTTATTTAAACTGAGCTTCACGTAAATATAAATTAAGGTTAAGAATATTTCCCTTATCTTCTTTATATTACTTATATTCTTTTCGCTCTTCTTTTTTAACTATGTTATTGCCTAACCGAACAAAATATGAAAATTAATTAAATATACATGGCTAAAATACATATTTATTCGTTATAAAGTAGAATATTTACATAAATCTATATATATGTAGGAGTGGAAACAGTAGATTAGGAACAAAACGGCATGAAAAAAAATAAACAGCAAACCGTCATTGGGAAGAAAGAGTACGTAAAGGATAGTACGGTATAAGAGCAAGAAGATAACGTTTAGGGGTTAAATGTGTTTATAAGTTGTATAAAGGTGAAAAATTACGATTTGATTTAAATATGTTTGTTTATGTATAAGATGTATAAGAAGAAGGACAACGTTGGATTTAAAAGATATCCGTTGACAGAAAGATAATAGAATAGATAGAGAAGTGAGAGAAAGTAAAATAGAGAGAGTGAAACAACGAGCGTATATCGGGTCGGTCAATAAGCGAAAAGGAATTTAGTCTCTCGTAGCACGTTACTCTTTTTTAAAGTCGTGAGACATTTTATAACGGTGATTTTTATCTTCCTTTTTATTAAATCTTGTATTACAGAATTAACCTCAGAGTGTAGGTTAATTAAACACTTTTACACTGAACCGAATCCTACATATATGTTCGTACAACTCAATATTCATGCATATCTTAACAATAAGTCTCAGAAGATCGAAGCACTTGTTACGATTACGATCTTATCTTGTAAAACGATGCTACGTGGGTAGTTTTTAAAATACATTTTTTTAAATATCAAAGTACCTTATCCTTCTTGAATAAAAGAATATAAGATTCGTAGAATCTTTGAGAATTCATCAATCTTTCATTAAAGATTATCTTCGTATGTAGTTCCTTTTTGAATAAGATGAAAGACTATACATATCCATAGCATAAGAATMAGACGTCTCTATTCTATAAAAGCGATCTTTGTTATGTAATTCGAGCCATCTTACTACATATTCAAGTACACTTTTAATCTTTTTTTAGTTAAGTATAGATAAAGAAAAAGAYCTCTCGAAGATCTCTAATCTCGTTTCATTAAATTATCATTATTTTCTCTTTAATCCTATCAGATTTYTATAAACGATTGCATGAAACTTTCGTAAATTTTTGGCATGCAAAAGAAAATGCAAAAATAGCAAATTTATATCACCCGTTGGAAATATTATTAAAGTAAGATAAGTAAGATAAATATAATCTTTTTCCTGATCGTTAAGATGAATTAAAAATCTTACAACTTTAGTAAGAACTATCGATAACAACTTAAAATCGTGAAGCAGCAAACGATAGTTTAAATGGTTTTCGATAGAAACTGATCGTGAAACGATCAAAGAATCTTAACTTAACTCGAAACTTATTCTCTCTCTTTTTTCTATATATTTATCTGTCCTTTTCCCTTTGGTATCGCGTGCACTAGAGATCCAAGTAACTTAGAGTGGCAGTTCGTGTGGCCGCCTTTATCTTGCTAATMCAATATTTCGTCCGTACGTCGTAGGTGCGGCCATTTCTGGTGCAATTTCGTGGAACACGAAACAATGACACCCAACGATAGTTGGCGGTACTGACGTGGGTGGTGTTGCACCACCAGTCGGACCGCATCGAGGGTGAGTCGGGTGAAAGCGCGGAAAGGATGTGCCGATCGCTGTTCTCTCCCTATCGCGACAGCTTATTGAATTTAACGAATGCTTACCGCAAACAAATTAACCTTTTGCTCCGTACTCCCATTTGCTGCTGTTGCTGCCACTGCTGCTGCGGCTTACACTGTTTCCAACTTTCAAACCRGTTCAAAATATATACTTCTAGTGTTTATCTTTTGAATGTTCAAATACGTTTAATGTCACGAGAAATTTCTTATTTATTTAGCATCATCATTATCATCGCGAAATTCTCATTATTATAAATAAATAGATGAACCATACATATATATTATGAATTAAAAATAATTATAACGATGGTTTATTTTATATATCAAATATCATTCCTTCTTTTGTTTTTGCTAACTCATTAATTAAATAAAATTTGTATATTTTCAATAACCGAATGTTGTTAAATTATTACGCAAACTATAGGGATTCGCGCGTACATATGGTAAAGTTTCTAGTTGTCAGACTTATTTCTGTTTATACTGTTTTAATGAAATGTATTTAGAAACAAAATTTTTATATAATATTATATTTATTTGAAAAATTTTTTATTAATATTATATTTAATCGAAAAAAGTTATAAACAAAAATTGAGCAGAATTGAAAAATACATAAAAAATGTTGTAAGGTGTATCTTCGTATTTGCAAAAATAAGCGAGAAAATGAAGGTGACAGGTAATTGTAAGAGAGGGGGCAAGTCACGCCTCTTGGACGGTCTTTACACGCGAGCGAGCTAGTGTCCGTTATCTTGGGGTCACTCGGTCGTGAATGCGAGTGCGAGTGAGAAAAGAAATGGATATTTCTCTTTTTCTATTTGTTTAGGCGATAGCAAGTATTTTTGTTTGGGCCTTCGTTTTTGTTGAGTGTTCTGAATTATATATTTCTGATATTTTTTCATGCTGTAGGGAGAATTTTTCGTCTTGGCCATCGAGTGTCGAGCGTTTTGTATACGAGTGCGAATAAGACAAGAAACCGATATTTCTCTCTTTCTAATTTTTTTCTTCGGAAGCGAGAATTTTCCGTTTTGACGATTGAGTGTCGAGCGTACTGTATATCTATATATATATCGGCGTATAAGCGCGGCATTTTTAAATCGAATCTTGATACTTATGGCACGCCGTTTTTTTATTTATTGTAGGTAGTATCGTCTCTTCTTCACGCGCCGGTTATAAACGTTCGATTCTTCGTATATATATAAATAATATATATATATATAATTATTTATTTATATATATTATTTTTATATATTGTTTATATATTGTATATATTTTATATATTGTTAAAAAATAAAATGTTAACTGTAATGCTAGTAATAAATCTACCTTTATTTGCGCAAAATAATAAACAATTTATTGTTCCTTATTTTTTTGTAATGATTTTAATTTTCTGTATTGTATAAAATTAATAATTCAGAAATGTAAAAAAAATTTGTATAACTTAAGGATAGAAAAATTTATAAAAAAAAATTTATCCCCCGAAGAATCGAATTAAATGCCTAGATTCTAAGATATGGCTTTTTTACTTTTTTCACTCCTTTTCTCATAAATGCGCTATCAAATTGCAAAAAGATATGCACCATTCGATTCAGCGTCGTCGAATTACCATTATATCAAGTTTTCCCAAATTTATCACATTTTCCCAGTTTTCCTTTATTTGAGTGGACTATAGGGATTCCTGGACTTAAAAGGAGGAAGATCGAGCAGTTAAGCTCTTTGTCGGAGTCGTCTTCGGATGAGGGTAGTTATCGAATGGAGGAATTGAGGACGTCTCTGGACATTCGAAATGATTTGGATCAAATCCTGGAAAGAGCGTTGGAAGATATTTCTATTGTGGAGGAGGAAAAAAGGAGATTAAAAAATTTAAAAGGGGATATAAGCGGGCGTATGAAGCGTCACTTAGCCAGTGCTAAAACAGCGGTGGGCCTCGTTAGGGAAAAGAGGAGAGTAACGGGCAGTGACTCCTCTGAGGCGATGATTGCAGCGTTAAGGTCCGAACTACAGTGCATGGACGAGAGGTAGTGGGCCTTGGAGAAAAAAAATAAGTTGCTGCAAAGGGAGGTTGAGAAAATAAGGAGGAAACAACAAGGTGTGGGGAGTGGAAAGAAGGAGGCAGGGGTCTCCTCTGGTGGGCAAGACAGTGGTAGGGTCGCGGTCCCTCCTTGTATAGTGGTTGAAAACATCCTGGTTCCTGGAGGTAGTGGGGGCGTTGCCTCGAAGAAGGCTGAAGGGTGGCCAGGGCGGAGGACATCAGGATTAAGGAGATACTGCTGTCTCGGAGCTGCAAAAAGTAGTGCAGGTTCCTGTGAGGCCACAGCCTGAAGATGAAAGGATGTTGGCTCGACCTAGTGGGGGAGAGCAGCCGTTTGTGGAAGTCATCCCAAAGAGTAAGATAAAGAAAGCACAGGCCGCATTAAGGACGGAGGCGGAGAAGGCGGCAGCGGGGCCGGGCGTGAAGGGACCATCCGTGGCGTCAGCTGTGGCAGCAGTGAAGAAGGTGGTGCAGGGGCGACAAATGGTTCGCGGAATTGCTGAGCGTAACCGACCACGAGAAGAGGCGGTTGTCTCGGTCACCTGTCGGGAGAGGGCTTCCTACAAAGGTGTGTTAGTGAAGACGAGCGAAATAGTTAATTTGAAGGAGGTTGGAATTGATGGTTTCAGAATTCACAGAAGAGTGACAGGAGCTTTCATTTTGGAATTAAGGGGCGGAAAAGCGAGGGGGAAGGCAGAGAAATTGGCTAGAGCCTTGGGCCTTGTCTTGCTGGAGGCTAAGGTTTCTCTTCCGACGAGGATTAGAGACTTTTTGCTTTGTGGACTTGATGCCAGGGTCACAAGAGGGGAGGTAATTACAGCAGTGACGGGTTTTGTACTGGGGGCTTACTCTCGCTTTGTTAGGGTGGGGGAGATATGCCCAGGTAGAGGCAGACTTGGCCAGGTATATGTTTCGGCCCCTGAAAGTGTGGCTAGATGTACGGTTAACAATGGATCAATTTTGATTGGCTGGTCGTGGGCCAGGGTGATTGCACTCGGTAAACGGCCTTTTCGGTGTTTTAAATGCATGGCGAGAGAGCATGTGGCGGCTCGGTGTCGTAGTGCTGCAGCCACGTTAGGTTTGTGCTTTAGGTGCGGGGAGAGTGGACACGTTGCGGCGAGTTGTGGAAGAAAACCCTGCTATCTTGTATGCAGGGATACGTGTAAGTCCACATTTAATCATGTGGTAGGCTCGATGGGCTGCTTACCGGTGCCTGCCAGGAAACGATTATTAATAGACAGGATTAGTTTGTTGAACAGTTTGACAATTGCGGGTGCGGGGAATTCTCTAGCTGAGGGCATGGACGTTGAAGTGTCCGCGGTTGTTCCTCAAGACTGTCGAGATAGCGCGAGTGCTAGTGGGGGTGGGGCGATAAGGACATTATAATGGGTAGTAAACTAATAGTGCAGCTAAACTTAATTCATGTGCGTCGTGCTCAGGACTTGTTGGTGCAGCGCATGGCTGAGTTGCGGGCAGGAGTCGCAATATTGGCGGAGCCATGGTATGTTTCCGAACGGGACACGAGGTGGTTCGCGTCTTGAGAGGGACAGCAATCGGCTACGATATTGCTCGGTGGAGGTGAAGGTACCTGCAGCCTCGTACGAAGGGGTTTGTTTTTGGTTGCAGTAGAGTGGCATGAGGGTATTACTGTCTCCATGTACTGTCTTCCGATTGAGATGATTAATGCTATTGAGAATCTCTTCGGGAACCTGGAAGGGTTAGTGGCCGGAACAGGAACGCGATGGGTTCTTGTGGCTGGCGACTTTAATGCCAGGTCTGCTATGTAGGACGCTGATAAGAGAGGTAATATGAGGGGTGAGCTGCTTCGTGGGTTGGCTGGGCAGTTGGGTCTCCAGCTGCTCAATCGTGCTGGCCTTCCGACTTGCGTGCGACCTCAGGGGTCCTCTGTGGTGGACCTGGCGTGGGGGTTGACAGTCCCGGGAATTCGCCTTATAGCGTGGGGGATGGACGAAGAGGAAACACTCTCGGACCACAAATTAGTTAAATTAGAATTGATGATCGAGTCAGCAGGCGCCTGCAGCTTCCCCGAGCATAGAGTATGGGACTCACGGTGTCCCCAGTGGTTGATAAAAGGGGTTGGTCATGACTTTTTAAGGGCGGTCTTAGTGGCGATCGACTGGCTGCATGGAGGGGGGCCTCCGGGTAGGACAGTTAGCAAAGACTTTGAGATGGGTGTGTAACCTGGTATTAAAAAAGAGGATAAGCAGATTTTCCTCCAGGCGGAGCGCGTTCTGGTGGAGCGAGGAGATTGCGGCGCTTAGATCTGCCGCAAACAAGTGCAGAAGATGGGCGAGGGCGAGACGTCGAAGGTCCCTGGGGGAGGTTACTGATCTACTTAAAAGATGGGCGTCGGCTAGACGTGTTCTTGGTGCTGCGATTAAGCGGGCTAAGGAGCGATGTGGGAGGGAGCTCACCCTAAGCGTGGAAGGGGACGTGAAAGGGATTGCTAGCTCATTTAGAACGATACGTTTAATAAGTGGGCTTGTGAAACTGTATGAAAGAGTGATTGTAAATAGATTTAATGCCTTCTTGGAGTCTAACTTACTGTTGTCATCACAGTTTAGCTTTAGAGTTGACAGGTCGACAATTGTCACAATTGCGGAAGTGCGGCGAGTGGTGGAGTGTAACTTGGAAAGGGGATTGATTACGGTAATGATCTCATTGGATATTGCTAATGTGTTTAATTCCCTTCGTTGGTGTGTTATAAATGATAATATTGCAAGTATGAATGTGCCGGAGTACCATCGGAGCATCATCCGGAGGTATCTTAGCAAGAGATGGTTGATGTTTCCGGCCTCTATGAGGACGACCTCCTACGTCACCCAGCTGATGACCGGGCATGGATGCTTTCCCTGTTATTTGAGTAGAATTGGTAGGGCTCGCTTAGCACGGTTTTTTCACTGTGCTTAGGGAGTGAGTGATGATGCGGGACACACGCCAAAGGTCTGCTTTGCGTGGGCAGAGCAAAGAAGTGATTTGTTGAGTGCGCTGTGTGTGAGTGTGGATGAATGGGAGGGCGATGCCCTTCGTGTGGTCATCGAGACCATCCTCCGAGACCAGGCCCTCGCAAGATGTCGGAATCCCGATTGCACTGAATCCGACACTACCTCAAGATTACGGGATCTCGGGGTGCCTAGGAAGGTTTTCCTCCTGCCGAAAAAAAAGGGTCAGCTCACGCTTTCCGGAGTAGTAAGGGAAGCCCTGGTTTTTCCGGGGGCGTGGGTTGCATTCCAGTCCCTTTCAGGACTAGTGCTACGCTAGAAGGACAAGGCGGAGAGTCGTAAGAAGTTTGAGGAGAGAGCAAGCCGTAGGGCTAGAGTGTCGGATGTATATGTATGTAGGAATGGACGAATGCGTGCAGGCCCTTTAGGAGGGTTGCTCCTGTGCGGCCCCCTCGTGCGAGACTCCGAACAACCTTGGCGTCGCCTGTCCCGGTCTTGCGCGCCGCTTCCCCTCAGACGGATGAGTTAGCATACTGATGCATGGAGTGTGTGTCCCTAGCCAGTGGGTTATTGGGCAAATGGCTGGGATGTATAATGGTTTAGTATAAGTTATGCTTCCGGGAGACCGTTGAGTGCGCCTTAGTGGTATAAGTTGCATAGTGTACGAGTGCGTGAATTGATGACGGCGTGAATGGTCTGGCTTATTGGGATGGGGGATTTATGTGTTATGAATTGTGTGATATATCCCGAATCTGCGCTTCCCACTCCCACGGTTGTATGTTGCGTGTAGTGTAAGTGCACGCGGGTGGTTTTTAGTCAGTAAGAATCAGTTGCGCGTTAAATTAAATTAAAAAATTTTCTATAAAAAATATTAAACTGGACCGCGGTGGTTAATAGGGTAACTTTTGTATATTCCTATTATTATTATGGAAAGAGTCCAAACTTTTCGCGTTATCCTATTTTATTACCCGACATTATTCTTTATTTATATTTATATATTATAAATTTATTAGAAAAATATCTTCCCCTTGCGCGATACAGTATTATTTCCTATCGAATACCAGACATTGTTCGCATGCTTTTCTTTCTCGCGATCATTATTGAAGTAAATCTTTTGATGGATGACGAAAAGTATTTTATTATCTTTATTTTTTTTCCTTGCTTATTGGGAAAATGGTTTTTTTCGTAAGATGGAAGGACGGACGCTCGATTTAATCTAATCGATTTAGTTTAGTTCTATGTTTAGCATAGGATAAGGTTTTGACGTACACATAAAACTTTAGCAAGATTGGACATTTTGTTGAAAAAATAGAAACCCCCGTCAGATATAACAATATAATTGAAACATATTCATTATATACACTGGCCGTCAACGTTCCGTTAGCTATCGTTGTTCGTAATAAAATAAGGATGCTAGTGATATTATCTAATTGACCAGCAGATATTTTCCAATATCAGGGAGTTCCGATAACGCAAATTTACTCGAACGTTCCGTCACGAGCCATCAGGGAAAGAATTTTGTTAACGCGACGATACAGAAGCACGCTAATGAGAGCAAGTACATCGAATTTTACGAGATCGGCCCTCTGCCCTCTATTCCCCCTCTCCCTTACTCCTTCACTGCCATCGAAACTCTTCATCGTCGTTCGTACGGTGTAACTTTCCTTCTAATATTCCGCACCGTGCACTTAATTCTACTTTGTCGTTGTTACATTGATTTCCTCCAACACGTCCAAAACGTATGCGTCTTGCAACTCCGACGAGAACTAATCAGCGTTATTAATAATAGATGAATAATTAAGATATATCAGGAAGCACGGCAAAATTCCAAAATATTATTCGATTGGACGAATTTATTGAACTTGACGTTTATATGTGTGTACTTTATATACTTATATAAAGTAGAGCTACTATTCGAACAACGGAGTATGATATCGAGGTCAAGTAAGACAAAATAATGCTTAAAATACGTAAGTAATGGTATTTCACACAATTTTGAGTTTGAATCATTCTGTTTTACCGACTGTATCACTAGCGCTTTATCATAAGGGGAAAAGATCTCCCGTGCTCTCTCTCGCAACATAACGAGAGAGGAGTTAGCGTCCTAGTTTGAATTGTATTTTGTAATCCAATGAATACTGTTAAATCTACATTGTGAGTGCTCATTAAGCCCAGAATTATTACAAAAATAATATCTTGTTGTTAATATATTAAATAGAAAAAATAATATGTAGACAGAGTATCAAATAATAAGAGAAATATTTCTTTTTAAAATATGATAATGAAATATATCTCAGTCTTATTTCCAAATGTAATATAAGAATTTAATTATAACAGCTAATAATTAATTTTGCAGATATGATCAATGATAATTACTTATTCCATATCGAGAATTTCAAAGATTTTATTATTGTATATTAACAGGATATAAAAAATTGTTGTTTATAAATTAAATAAAAAACGTTATTATTTACATGTAATGAGTAACAACATTCATAAATATTATTGACGACCAGTGCCTTAATCTGTACTCCATTGTTTTTTATTTTCAAGCGAAAATGCCGTCACGTGTGAATATAGAGAATCGTATATTGGGTAGGAATAAGGATAGGATAATAATCACAAATAAAGCTAATATTTTTGAGCCCAGTCAATACTAAATAGTACACCTTATTTGGCTCGTCAGGGAAAAGTTTTGCGGCATAAAAACCCTTGTTGAATTATACACAATGAATACGTACAATTGCGATGAATGCTATACAGCTAGCTAACTTATCGGCGGCTATCAGGTGATGAGATGCATATACAAAAACGCAGAATAAATCCTGATCACGTGTAGAACTGCCTTTGTCCTTCGTCGCTTGCAGTACTTTGATGATATAATGTTGCGCAAGAGATTTTGGCGCTCCTTTGGTTTTACCGCTAAACTACGATGCCACTTTGTCGCGCGTATCTTCACGCTTCGGCGGGGCCGTACACGCCCCGACGCTCGCTCTACTCACTAGTTGCGTAGGATACGCAACAAACATCTTCTTTATTTTTTTGATATTCTTTAATATTTTCTTTTCTTCGTTTTGGATTGTCCTTTGAACTTTGTGGATTTATTTCGTTTTTGATTTTATCTTTAGGAATAACTCGAATTTTTTAAATTATTTACAATTTCTCATTCTGAGTTAGTTGAAATTTTTTTATATAATCTAATCTAATTAAAAAATCATATTTAAAATTTTTGTTGTCCACTATCAAGACATCTATATCCTCTTCAATCTCAAAAATTTTTACTTTTAAGGTGACCATACCATCTGTCTTTTTCACACCATTAATCGTCAAACCCACTTTTTTGTGCTAGTAAATTTTCTCTTCAGTATGCTTAATAGTTTTAAATTTATCAAGGAGACATTTGGGCCGGAATCATAAATGCCT